ATTTTCTTCAGTGTTAAGACCTGGCTAACATTCCCCATGGCCCATGAGCAAGTGATAATGGAGTCCATGCTTAGGAATGCTTGACAAACATGGAGACCATTAGCTCACTGTTTAGTACATTTCAGTCTGTTCCATCCATCATGCACTCACATTCAGACCATGAAGGTATTTCCTGCACTGTGTCCATAGGCAGAACAGCGTCTCTGAAACTGGCCCCTCTGTACCAGATAAGCTCCATTTCTGACAGCTCATCTGATCCGTGCCAAAGACTTAATTGATTCAGAGTTCTCTCTGTTAGATGTTCCTTGCCCACCTAACTGTAACATCTTCCTTTGGAGGAGTCCCCTCCACTATAGGGTGGGTTTTATTGGATTTCTGTCAACATTTGACAAACTTCGAGTTTGGTGGAAACCTGTTGTGGATGTGTTTGGGAGGAAGGTGCTGCTCAGAACCTGCCTTCACTCAGGGCTTTCTCATGATTCCCATGGCACAGCCCACGGACCAGCTCCCAGTTAAGGGTCTTACATATGACGTCTCTCATTTTATCATCTCCAAGAAAGTTTTAGCTACCTCAATTCCTGGGAATGTTCAGCATTGACCTGGCATTCTCATTGTAAAGTATTTTTTATCCTTTTTCTGAAAAGGGGAGAGAAGGAGAAATATTCAATGGATTGGTTGTTGTACCCTGATTTTACAAATTAGGCTTTGTTTTTAAAAAATATAAAACAGGATTATCTTCTGTTTACTTACTATTTTTATATCATTATTTATAGAATCTCTTGCTCAATTCCCTGCAGTTACAAAGATATTGGTAGGGAAAGGCCTACTTTCCTTCCTTATGCTCTGAACTCATAAAATACGGTCTTTTAAAATGTAGATGCTTGGTTACAGTTCTCATGACAATGGAAATGTTTCAGAGATGCCTATTCACCGCCCAGAGAGAACATAGGTGATAAGGATATGAGTGTTCATTATCAGATACCCAAAGAATGAGGGAGTGAGTGGGAACCTTAGAACCACACATTCAACAGCCTCAGGTTGCAAACAAGAAACCAAGTCTCTAGAAGTGACTCCAGGAAAGCTGAGCTGGGATTACTCACATCCCTGGGAGAGCAGGGTCAGATTGGACAGAAGGCTTTTCCCATCCACTCCACTTCTCCTCCTCTGCTCTTCCTAGGACTCTGCATTGAAGAACACAGTAGGGGGTGCTCTAAAAACAGAGCTTTGGACATTTCAGACATGAGGGCAAAGACAACAGGGCACAATCTGAAGGGAAGCCATCTAAACGCCGAGTACACACCCCAATGCCTTTTCAGGTTATGTTGGTCATCACACAGCTTCCCTTCACCAGGGAGAGGAACTCGGGCTGTATTTGGAGTCCTTGCCACCAGAATCTAGCCAGGGACACTTGAGTGTCACATGCATGCCCCTCATGAAATGTTGAGTCCCCTGGCCTGTTGAACAAGAGGTTGGTGCCCGTTAGACATTCACTGGGACGGAGTGCGTCTGAGCAGGGAGCTCCCAGGCAGATGTGAGGGGGCTGATCAAGTAAGGGGAGAATCTCAGCTCCTCAGGACCCCAAGTGTCCAGAGACCCCACTTCCATGGCTTCCAATCCGGAGGACACAAGGAAAATGGCTAGGATTTATCTAAACACCGGATTTTACACCCATAGGATGTGGGATCCCAAATGAGTGTCCTCAGAGTGTGGCAACCTGGCATGGGGGGTATTTCAAGCTGAAATCAAGTGAAGCTCCAGGCACTCAGGAAGAGTGTGTTTGTTTGGTTAGGTTCATGTTCCCTTTCCTTCTTAAAGGGACTCAGATAAAATAAAATAAAAAAATAAAAAAAACCTGCGGGGGGTGGGGGGAAGATTATACTCACCTACGCTTATTCACTTGAGCGCATGTGGATTGAGTGTGGTAGGCAGGGTGTGTCCAGGCCAGTCTCTCCGCCTGGTTTCCCTCTGTCCCACTGTTTCTTACTGGTCTAGCAAGAATGTGTTTGTCACTTTCTCAGTTACCTATGAAATGCTTATTTCCGCTTTGAAGTCTCAAACCCATTTCCCCCTTTCCCCTTTGTCCAAAATGACATTTATACCATATTTGGCATCACTGGTTTTAGAATTTTCATGTTGATGTGAATCCCCCATGCACATGCATTATACATTTGATTTTCTCCTATTAGAGTTTCAATGTTTTTGTGTGTGTTTTATAATCCTCACCCAAGCAGATGGTTTTATTGACTTTAAGAGAGAGAGAGGAAAAGAGAGAGAAACATCGATTGGTTGCCTACTGGCATCCAACCCACAACCTAGGTATGTGCCCTGACAAGGAATCAGACCCACAGCCTTTTGGTGTATGGGTCACCATCCAACCAACCAAGCCACCTGGCCAGGGCTGCTGCTAGTCTGCTTTATGCCATTTGCATTATTGGATGAGCCAGGAGAACTAATGGGTAAGAGAAAAGTCCCTGGCCCCACAGGGAGAAGGGAAGAGGGCCATCGCTGCGACCCCCACGCTTCTGCCTACTGCCTATCACTGCTGGCCAACCATTCCCTCTACACAGCCTCAACCTGGGGTACAGCTTTGCTCTGGCGAGTTGGTCACCAGAGGAGGTGAAACTGACCTCAGGAAGGAAAAGGGGAAGAAAGGCTTCTGCCCTCTCCTGATCTCTAGAATGGCATTTGTGATTTTGATTCTCCCGGAAGAGAGCCCGCCTCCATGAATCTGCCAGCAGTGGGGACAGTTTCATTCTTGAATGGAAACCCACCAGAAATCAAATAGAAGCACATTGAAACAACAATGCAATGTCATGAGCAAGTGGGTAGATTCTTAAATGGTGGAAGCCAGTACGGAAGAGGGAAGTGTCAGAGATGGAAGCTAAATCCTCCACCTCAGGTCAGGTAGGCTGGGCTGGGCTCCCTGTCCCTGCTGAGGGGGCTTTTGTGCAATTGCCTCCCTTTTGGAAGTCCGGTTGGTGCATTCTTTAAACCCACACGAGGTTATTGTGCAGAAGGGATGGCTCTGCGTGGAAGTGCTCCGCCTCCTGCCGGAACAGTGGGCATGTTTGATAGATAGCAGGAGCTTTACCCTTTGACACATTAATTACCTTCTGGGGACCTAACCTCTGGAGAAGAAAACATCTAAGCAACCAGAGCCAATGATTAATGCAAGGATATGCTCATGGCAGCCTGCTTGCAGAGTGCACCACTGGAAACAGACTGTTGGTAGAAGGTTATGTGGAGACTGCTGCGTGGTTTCAGAAATACCAGACAATCGTGAGTGTGCTTGGGACTGAGGGAGGTGTTTCCAGATTCTGAAATGTTTGGCGCTGCACCATTCACCTGCTCTGGAACTCAGAAGTGCACTAGTATCTAACCCCGCTACCTGACACCTTCGTGGAAATTGAACTCAGCAGCTGGCCAAACCAGGTGCTCTCCTTGTGGAAATACCTGACTCTTGCATAAGTGGCACTGGCCAGCCGGCCTTGGGAGGAAGGATTTACCTGGAACTTGATGCGTCTACGACTATTTAGATGAAAATATTGCGTTACACCAGGCATGTCAAACTTAAAGGCTAACACGGGCCAAATAAACGAGGCATGCAGCCCGTGGACTGCGAGTTTGACATGCTTGCGTAACACTCATCTGGGTAAGTTTGCTGCACTGTCGTAAGGATTAGTTTGTGTCTAAATGTGATGAATGATAGGGATGGAAAACAGCATGCGGTTGGCTATGGGGTTTGAGATAAAAATTCCAAATGGTTTTCATAATGTAACACCTCTTCACAATTTATAAGGCACCCCTGCTACCTCCTCATTCACCTAGTAGAAGTGAGTCCTGCACGTGGCTCAGGTGGGCACGTCCCTTTTCCCTGTAACTTCCCGCTGCAGAAGCTTGCTCTAGTCATTGCAGGCAATCGTGGACCAGTTCTCCTCACCTGTGCAGACGATAATCATCTTCCTCTCCTTCCTGGTTCTAGTGGATGCACACTTAACACTCCACCCTCTGCTGCCTGTGTCTCCGAAAACATTCTTAATGAGTTAAAAATCCGGCCAAAGCCGCTCAGCTGCTTCTGAGTTTGAATGCTAACATTAGCAAGCACAAACGGGCTTTTCAACATTGCCTCATGCCCCTGACCCTCTCTGCCACACGTAATGTTTAGAACTGTCAAGTTCCCTGTAGTCCCCAGGAAGGCCATTTTGTAATTCCTCTAAAGCTTTACACAGCCATGTGCATTTTGCTGAAAAGGTTGAGGGCACATCCCGCCCCTCTTGCCCACTTCCTCCAGGAAGCATCACTTCTCTGGTGAAAACTTCACGTGTCCTGATTTCTTCTAAGAATCCCCAGGAATTCCCTAGCCAGTTTGGCTCAGTGGAGAGAGCATCGGCCTACAGACTGGAAGGTCCCAGGTTCGATTCCGGTCAAGGGCATGTACCTTGGTTGCAGGCACATCCTCAGTAGGGGGTGTGCAGGAGGCAGCTGATTGATATTTCTCTCTCACTGATGTTTCTAACTCTCTATCCCTCTCCCTTCCTTTCTGTAAAAACTCAATAAAATATATTTAAAAAAATAAGAAGCACCAAGAGCTAGTGTCTTTCCTTTAGCACATTCCACATTGTATCTGTTTTTCAGGTGTATCTCTTTAAAAATGATCCTTGTGCTTGGCACATAGGTGACTTACAATACATATTTGTTCAGTGAATGGATGTAATTATTTTATATCTGGTTCTCTAAAAAACAGTGACCCTTGCCATCCCCCACCCTCCCAGGTCCTGGATGGCCCCCTTTGCAGCCAGCACCGTGAACCTTGGCCCAGGAATGGAAACCACCTTGGGGGTGTATATGAACAAAGCTGACACATTTTTCCTTTAAAATCTTGCAGCTGAATGTGAACTGATCCTGAAATGAAGGTCAGCTCCAGGTGGTGGTTTATATCAGCTGTCAGGTTGCAGAATAAAAAAATGGCTTTTATATGTTTGATTTTTATTGTTTTCCAGGGCAATGTCACTTTTTCCTGCTCCGAACCACAAATTGTTCCCATCACATTTGTCAACTCCAGCAGCAGTTACCTGCTGCTGCCTGGCACCCCCAACATCGACGGGCTCTCAGTGGGTTTCCAGTTTCGAACGTGGAACAAGGATGGGCTGCTTCTGTCCACAGAGCTGTCTGAGGGCTCGGGGGCCCTGCTGCTGAGCCTGGAGGCCGGGACCCTGAGACTCCTGATTCAGAAAACGACAAGACGGGCAGCGGAAATCCTCACAGGTACCATCTGCTCACTACCTCTAGGTCAGTTTCTGATTCAGCCAAATCAACAAATGTGTTGAGGTTCTGACCAACATGTACAGACTCCAGCTCCAGGCCTGGGGGCTGACCCAGTGCTCACAGTGGCTCTCAGTCCGCCCCACGGGCAGCAGCTGTAGCTGGGCAAGCCTCTACACTTCCCCATCCCTCAGTGCTTTGAGCTGGGAAGCGGGAATGAGAGTCCCATCTAGCACCATGGAGCAGGATGGAGACAGTTCACAGAGCACTTTGCTGTTCTCCACAGGCAGGGTCTATGCCATAGAATCGTCACCATGCTAGCTCAGGTAAGGCATGGCCCTCACTTTACAGACGAAGGATCCTGGAGGCTGGAGGCTGGAGGATAAGCAACTTCCCAGCTCACATGGCGACCGGCGACGGCACCAGTTTCATCTTGAATCTGTCTGACCTCATTCTGTAGCTTTGCTGTATGCTCCCCCACCATTGACGTTTTCAGCCACCTAATTCTATTTCAAGTAAAAGTTAGTCAGTTTAAAAAAAAATATTTCTAAATATACATTTTTAAGTTATTAAGGGAGTGCTGCTACAGATGGCATCTGGCTATGACGAGACTTAAAATTGTCCTTAAATAGTTGGCATCTGAGAGCACTCACTGTCTGCAGCGACATGGTACCGATTCTAAGGATAGCAACATGGAGCCCGTGTGAGAACATGACTCTGGCTCTGCTGTTTCTTCAACAAAATGGTGGGACTTCCCAGCCTTCTCCATCTATTGTCTCACTGGCACCTCTGACTTGCCACAAGAGATGCTGACTTATTTGACGAGTACTTATGGAGGTCAGACCACCTGCCTGGCCTTGGGTTAGGTCTGAGGCATGCTATGAGGCCGGCATCCCTTGGATCAGATCCCCTCCCCCACATACCCTGGGCCAAAATTCATCCAGGATATTGCACAACATTGCATTTTCATTTAATTTAAATGACTTCCTTCCCACGCTAGACTGTGAGTTTTGTGATCCAAATAAATTAGAGAAATTCAAGTTAAATTGTAAAGGATGTTACTTAACAATCAAGATTAGGTCAGACTATGGGAGAGTCGCAGATGCCTCCAACCCCTGGGGATAGCAGCGATGCCTGGGTCTTGGAAACAGAAAGGTTCAAAAGGCACCTCTCGCCCTGGCCGGTTTGGCTTGGTGATTAGAACATCGCAGGTTCGATCCCCGTCAAGGGCACATACCTTGGTTGCAGGTTCGATTGGGAGGCAACCAATGGATGTGTATCTGTCATGTCCATGTTTCTCTCTCTCTTCCTCCCTGCCTTCCACTCTCTGAAAATTAATGGGAAAAATATCCTCAGGTGAGGATTAAAAAAAGAGGCACCTCTTCTCCTTACTACTCTTCAGTCCTCGATAAACTGTAATGTCTTATACATAAGTGGTAGTGTGTTGGTTACCTAGGCCTGTATGTCAACTTACAGCAAGATTCAGTGGTTGTAAGTGAGATGCCTCAGTATCTAACAGTAAGCCTCCAGGTCTCCTTGACTGGGTGAGCCTGGCTGGAAGGGCACAGTCATCTCAAGGTACAACTAGGAGTGGTCTGCTTCCATGCTCACTCCTGTGCTGTGGGCAGAATCAGAAGGTCATGTGTATGCTCATCCCCTTGGCCTCTGCAGAGGCTGCCCATGCTGACAGCACTCTTACCCAGAGGGAGGGAGCCACAGGCAGAGGGAGAGGGCACCCAGGACAGAGCCTGGTCTATGTGGAACCCAGTCCTGGAAGTGGTCTCCCACCACTTTGCCGTGTTCTGTTCATTAGAACCAAGTCAGTAGGTCTAGTCCTTCCTAAGCTGAGAGAATGTGCAGGGGTGGGTAGAAGCTATGGGTCAGTGGGACCCTCTGAGAGTCTACCTGAAAAAGAAGATAAAACCAATTCCTCCATCACAAGCCTGTGATGTCTAGAATCCTGAGCAATGTTTCTCCTTCCCATACTGACTCAAGACCTATCACTAGGAAAGGCCTCACTGCATAGAGTCAGAAAAGCTACGTGAATGTGTGCAGTCATGGGACTTTTATGAAATGTATAAGATTCCCTGTAATGGTGATGAATTAATAACTTAGAATCATAATATTTTATGTGTCCAGTTATAAAAGTTAAACTCAATTATCCTTATTTGAAGTAGAAAAACATAAACTGGCACTGGGCAATTTCTATCCAATCGGCAAAATGTTTGAGTACAGAGACTTGTCAGCCTCAGGTCAAAAATGCAGTTTTAATATAGTGCAAGCCCTGGCGGCCCCTTGCTCAGAAGCACCCAGGTGTGGCCTGTGTTATTAAGCACATGCCAGCCCAGGAAAGCGTGTTTCTGAGTGAGAGAGTGGCTGGTCCAAGCTGCCAGGCACCCAGCAAAGAAGGGGAAATAATTAGTTATTTCAGAGCTCTCTCAAGAAATGAGTAGAAGGGGGTTTTAAAAATGTGCTGAGTTCCTCAGATGTGTCTCAGAAGCTTGATTCTTCTCTTCATTTTGGAAAAATTGAGCTTTTTTAATCTTTCTTCGAAATGGATCAAGGTTTTGTGTCTGCTGGCATTTTTCTACATAGGGGATAAAAAACAAAGATACAAACAAACGGAAATAGCTTTCCTCTCCCTTACATTTTTGAGGAGACTTATTTCCCTGGAACTTGAGATAATATTGCCTTTATAAGAGACAAAAAATTCCCATAAGAAACTAGAAAGCAATGACCATTGCCCCAATAGTTTTTGAGGGACCATGGGCTACCCTTGACATATGGTACATCACAGGAAATGGAAAATAGCACCATACTCTATCAATTGAACAGGGATCCAGCTTCTCCAGGTATATTTCAGAATGGTCCCGGTGTTCCTAGTGCGTCGGCCACAATGAGCAGGTGACCCTGGGAGAGGCAGGACCCGGCACCTGGCCCAGCCACTCCTGCTCCAGAGGTCTGTGCCACGTGCTTTGGTTCCGGAGTCACTTGGAGCTTTCTGCATGGCGCCCAGGGAGAGGAGTGCAAGCTAAAGGCATCCTCAAAATAGAAGGGAACTGAATGTCATTGCTCTGGGGGACAACGTTCCAAAAAGTGAAGGAGGACAGTGCAATGTCTCCCTTGTATTTTCCCTTATTTTCTATTTTTGTCGTCTTCCTTCTTGAGAGTCATACACATGTGCACCTGAGGAGAAACCAAGGACACCATGTCCCCAGAGGTGACGTGGGAGTAGAATCAACAATGCCATGGGTCTCCTGAGGCCAGAGCTTGAGCTATCACCTGCCAGGTAATGGAAAAATCCGCTCATAACACTATGAGGCAGGTGTCAGTTTGCCGACATGCACAGGAGCAAACTGAGAATCAGAATTAACTTATAATGACCAAGATGGGTTCCCCTCAGGCCTTTCCTTTGGATTCCGTGTGCGTGGTCTTTATACTACATCTTGCCGCCATCCATAGTCATGTTTTCATATTGTCAATTGCTTAAATAATTCAAATGTAAAAGCATCCTGCTTTAGAGGAAAGATTTACAGACAAATGTACAATAGGCTATTAATGAGAATAGGCTATTCAGGATCAAAAGTTGAATTTTCCCAAAACAGTTCTGTTACTTGGTGGTACTCTTATTTCTAGAATCTTCTGTGAAGGAGGACTGACACAGAGGGAGCACTTGTCGTCTTGGCAGACTTGTGGTCTCATTTAGCTCAGGCTGCTGTATACTGCTATAAAGTAAACCACACATATCTGCATGTCAACACACACCTGTGCACACACACACACACACACACACACCCCAACATTTATTTTCTATGTGCAACATACTTTCTAAAGACTTTTCCAGAGACTTGATGCTGATTCTATAGTAAGAACATCAGCTAAGCACTACGGGAACTAAGTGACATAGCCGCTAGGAGGAGGCTGTCTGTCTGCTTCCAAAGCCTCTGGCCTCTACTGTGCAGCCGGTCCCACTCAGGTCACCCCTGCACCCTAAACCCCATGGAAACCTGGGGGCTGCACCGGAGCGGGGGCGGGGGGGTGGGTACCTGCAAGGAGTCTCATCGCATGTCGAGCCTTGCCCTTTCCCCCTTCAGGACTCAGAGCAGCCATTCAGGCAAACCTCCACTTAATGGACCAACATCTGGTTTTCCTACTATAAACGTTTTAAATCTCAGCTCTTTAGCGCTTCTGCTGAGGTACTGTGTGCTAGCGGACTCTATCTCTCAAGCCCACACCTGTTCATTGAACAATAGGTACCATGTTCTATTTTTAAAAAGGGAATAGCTGCCGTTTTAAAGGCTCTTAAGAAGATGCTTAGAATGGAGCCTGGTATTATCCGCGCCTGAATTACTGAAACTTGGGAAGTTTTACAGAGGTAAAGGAGACCACCTGGTTTGTTTCTTTGGAGAGTCAGGGCGCAGTGTTGGTGAGGAGGTATCAGAAAATGAAAGGCATTCAAATTGTATTCATAGAGGTACTAGAGCTGCTTTATGTGGAGAGAAATTAAGACAGAGACATAATAATGGTCTTTGAACATGGGACACACTCTCTCACAGATGAGTGTTTATGTCACTGCAGGATGCAGAACACGTGCAATAAGATCAAATGACAGAGAAAGCACTCTTGGTTTTCATTAGAGAGTATCCCATTCAGAGTTTTCCAGCTTCACTGCATGCTGCTCTCATGTCACGAGGGCTTCCATCACAGAGTGGAATTCTCAGCATTTGGGGATGAGTCTCGGTGCTGTGTAATGGGACCCAGAGATGGGGGAGGAAGCCTCAGACAGGAACTCTGCCTGGCAGCTGGGCACCACTAATGATTATATGAAGGTGAGGCCCATTGCCAGGCACAGAATTCCTGGGCAAAAGGAAACACAACTAGCAAAGGTCCAGGAATCAACCAGGTGCCATGGAGAAGTTTTCATTTCAGGCAAGTAAGTGACTTATTGAAAAGGCCATCTCAGCTCAGTCCATTTAATTCCTCATAGGAACAAGCAATGGCGT